ACACCATAGCAACCATTTGTTTAGTCACAGATTTGGAATTAAGGTAACGTGCATATCCTAAATATCTTGGCTGATTTCACATGAACGTGACGGGTTTTCTTCATCCATGCAAGTAAATATCAAGATTATTTTTTCTTGGAGAATACCTGAAACACACCAAACACAACGTGCTAATGCTGTGGGAATTACGTGAAACACCTCTTCAGATCTATGCTAACGCAACGTGATGCTAATACCAAGGCCTTAGGCAGCACCTCAAACAGCTCTGCATCATCGCAGGTGTGGTTAAAGCGTCCTGACGTGAAGGTTAAGCACACCGTCCAAACTATCAGAACCTGGACTTCATCAGTTTAACACCTTACAGTAAGTTTTACACGTGTAACGTAGACGACATGTAGGCAGTGAAAGATGGAGAAGAAAGCCAGCGCTCACTCTGAGGACTTTCTTGTGCATGTCTGAGATCTCGTCGTATTCTGAAGACAGCATGTTGGCCTGCATCAACACCTCGAACCTGGACAGAGACAGACAGTCGTTAGCTCACAAGCTAGTTCATGAATCAAAGCCTTTAACTCACTGCTGCTGCATTCAGACACTTGAAGGTTTAAAGCTTCATTCAGACTCCACGGCGACAGCGAGACGAGGCACCGTGTTGGTCCAACAGGTCATCAGAACATCCAGGGACATAGGAAACAGAATAATAAACGTATCAACTCGTTCCTGCTGGAAATGCAGCAGCTTCTCTCCTCGTATGGATCCTGCTGCTGTCTGATGCTGAAGCTATTTAATGAACAGCTGGAAGCAACAAACTCGACTCCAAACCTCGATCAGGTTTAGTCTGAACCTGACCGTCACAGCCTGTGAACTTTTGTTCTCTGGGAGGTTTCTGGACCAACATTGCTGCTGACACGCTCCTCTCATCCTGATGTGCAGGATTTCATTTTGATATCTCGTCATCCTGTGTGATAGGACTCCAGTATCAGTGCCAGTCCTTCTTATGACTTCTCTGTTCTCGTCTTGTTTCACTTCTCTTCAGTTTCAGTAACGTGCTGTTTTCACAACTCGGTTTCTACGAAGCGCTGCATTTTAAATGTTATGCTTTTGAGCAACATGTAGTAAAAAATGAAGTTTTATCTGATCTTAAATGTGTAAAAAGTCCGTCTGTGTTTGTGACTGAGCTTCAGACTTGTGTTGTAGATAAACGAGTGTTTGCTGTGAACGCTGATCTAATCTGTCTTCATCTTCCCTCCTGGCCGTCCTGCAGCTTTAAACCGTGTTCAGACAAACTCCAGCTGACGGTGGCCTCACTTACAGCTGCTCCGTTTTCTCCAGCATCTGTGTGCAGTAGTTGCACAGATGGAACACCTCCGACTTCTTGTGCAGGATCTCGCTGTAGTCCTCCTTCATCAGCTCACTGGGAACACAAAGAGGCAGAAGCTGCTGAAGCACGAAGACCAAACGTCCGTCAGTCGCTGATTTACAGGAAGACTTCCGTCGACTCACATCAAACCTCGAACTCCTTTTCGCACCAGCTCCTGGTAAACCAGCAGAGACTCGGAGGTTTTCCATAAATGTCCGACGTCACCTGCAAAAGTCTGAGCAGCAACATGAGGAGGATCATGAACACATGAACACATGAACACATGAACACAGCGAGTCTGGAGTCCGTTAACGGATCCTTTATCAGAAAAAAGCTAAACAGGAGATAAACACTGGAGTCCAGTTTCAGGAGAACTTGTGGAGCTCAGAATGTTTGATGGAGGAAACGATGACGGTGAGAGAATAAAGCAGATTAACACTGAGCTCAACGTTAAACTAATGTTTGGTGAATGTTCGTCTCTTTCACGTGAGCCGAACATCTTTCCACATGTAGCTAATGTTCATATGAATCCTACCAAACAGCTTCACCACCTGGTGCAGGTGAGTCCAGAGTGACATCACCAACAGGTACCATTTATTGATCCAGTCTTTTGGTTTATGAGGCAACGTCTACATTATCTAAAGGAAAACACACACGCTTGTTTGTGTCCAGTGTTCTGACGTGCTTTGTGCTGTGACTGGGTTCGGGTCAGTACCTTGGCGTAGCTGGCGTCCAGGTCCAGGTCGTAGCGAGGCTGAACCTTGGGAGGACTGGCTGTGAACAGAAACACAAACGGGAGTCATTCTGTGGCTCTGAGAGCTTCAGTCCTCCTTAAAGTCACCCAACCAGTAAAGTTAAAGCTGTTCAAACGGATCTGAAGTCAGAGCCGGTTCCTCTGAAGCCCGATCAGACAAACGTACGATCTTCGAAGATGAGGCCGACGGTGGCGACGGACTCGCGGCTGACCAGCATGATGGGGTTGTCTCTGGACGTCTTGGGGAAGGTCTTGGCCTGGCGGTTGGGGTCGAGGACGAGGCGGCGGCCTTCGTACAACAGCTCCTGGTTGTGCAGAGGGATGCTGGTCCGGCGGCAGAGCAGCTCCTGGAACAGCGCCGCCCTGTGGACACACGAGGAACAGCGGTCAGACAGAGTCGACCGTCAGCCGCCTCCTGCCGCCTCCTGCTGCTGCTTACGTGTTGTACTCGTGGATGTAGACGTGGTGCAGCGTGGCCTGCTGCAGGCTGAAGACATAAACCACCGTCCGGTGCAGGATGTCGTTGGTCTCTGCGAAGAACTGATCGAAGCCCCAACATTTCTCCTGATCGGCCTCCAGGATGTTGGCGAGGACGGGAGTCAGGAGGCTCTGCAGACCCCTGGACACCACGGAGAACCCATCAGACTCAACACCAGAGAAGGTAACGAGCTGATTCAGACTCAGGTCTTACAACTTTAGAACAATTTCTGCTCCACCATGAAGATGTTTGTGAAGTTTTAGCTCGACACATCAAATCCAAACCGTCTGTCGGCTCAGTTCAGACGTTTTCTTCTCACATTAAAACCTGAACAACAACATCTGAGGCACGAGTGAAGATTAAAACAATAATCAGATCTTTATCTCTGAGCTCAAACACTGAACGCTTCAGTTTCATTGTCTGACTCACCTGCCGTCAGATGATTGATCCACACAGAGAACATTTCAGGTTTTATCTTTAACACGTCCTCACATGTTGTTGTTCACTACAGATATATATATACATCTGTATTTTCTGCTCTAATAGTTCCAGCTAGCTTGAACCTGCTGGAGCAGAGGCTGCTGTGTCGGGGTTTCAGGTGAGTTCAGGTAACAGGTAACAGGTGAGTTCGTACTTGGACAGACTGCAGGAAACCGGCATCTCGGTGCTCCACTCGATCTTCCCGTTCTCACACTTCTGGTGTCCTGAAATGGTCCCTGAAGGTTTCTCTGTGATAATCTTATACCTGAAACACACAAAGCAGCAGGTGAGCTTCCTGCCGCTACACCTGAGCTCAGAGCCACAGGAAGTTGTCTCACATGACTTCCTTGTTCCTGCGCGGCCCCTCGAACGGCCTGAAGGGGAGGCTGCCGGTGGCGGCGTGGTAGAAGGTGACCCCGATGCTCCACAGGTCCACGGTGGCGCCGTACTTCTTCTGGTGGTCCTTCCTCAGCACGGCGCGCTCGTACATGTCGGGGTGCTGAGCAGACAACGAGAAGGACAGGAGCTACAGGTGAGCACAGCTTACATCCCCAGGTGGGTTAGTTCCTCACCAGGTGCGTTGGTTTTCCTCACCAGGTACTCCTCGGTGCCGTACAGGGACACGAACTGCTCGTCGTCCTCCAGCTCTCTGGCGGCTCCGAAGTCGGTCAGCTTGTAGACGGAGCGTCCGTCCTCTCCGATCACTCTCATGATGTTTCCTGGTTTGATGTCTCGGTGGACGATGCCGTACTCTCTCAGGTGGTTCATACCTGCCACTGGAGGACACACAGCAGCCAATCAGAGACAGCTACGGCCTCCTGATGGACCTAAAGCACTTGTGGCCCAGGGTGTAGCTCTATCAGGTCAATGTGACACCAACGTAAAGACGGAACTGTTCCTCACCGACGTCATGAAGAACGATGAGGAACTCGTCCTCTGGGAGTCCGTAGGCGTTGGACGACTCCTCCAGAACCGTGTAGAGACTCCCGCAGGGACAGTACTCCATCACCAGGACCTTATGACGGGTGTTGGACTGGAGACGACGGCAGGAAGAGCCAGAGTTAAACAGGAAGTCTCTCACATCAGAACCTTTAAAGGGTTTCATCAGACGGAGGCTGAACGGTTTCAGAACAAACGTGTGTTTCTGGATCCTCGAACAGCTGAACAGGATTCATGTCGTCATCTGAGCTACTTAATCCATGAACCCTCAACTGTTCAATGAATCTCAGACTGTTTTAATAATCAACTAATCAGGATTTTTCTAGCAGCGTCAGTCTAACTCGGTGGTTTCAGCTCCTTCAGTCAACATGTTCTGGTTTCTTTCCTCTGTGACGGTAAACTGAACATCTCTGGACTGAACCAGACGCTGGAGGAACCTCTGATCCACGTTTTTCACCTTTTCCTGACATTTCAGACCAAACAGCTGATGGACTGATGAAGAGAATAACCAACGTGTCTTTAACATGTTTTCTTTGATTCGTTTGCTGCAGGTTTGGTTTGAGACGTGAATGCAGGTTTTATCTGTGCGTCTGTTCAGACTTGTGACGACGAGCACAAACCAGAGAAAACTATCTGTCAACCATCTGAAGCCACTCTGATGGTTTTAAGGAAACCCTGAGCTGCCTGCCAGGCTGCATTCAGGGCAGCAACATCCCAACGTGTTCAACCTCCTGAACACCAACGTTGAACATTTAAGGCTGTAAATTAAATAAACCGTTAATTAACTGGAACTAGTTTCACTGAGCAATCACCTGAAACGTCTGCAGCTCAAACGTTCCTGTGAAACCCTGATTGCTCTGCTTTAAACGTCCTCACATCACTTCTCTGCTTCGTATCTCAGACCTGCAGCACTCAGTCCACCAGAACCATCAGCAGGATTCTTTGGTCTGCTGTGAGACCTTCAGCTTGATTTTCTACATCTGACAGGTTTGTCTTTTTCTTCAGTGTCACAGAGTTCGACTGGATTAAATGAACACGTTAAACTGTGTCGGCTGGTTAACGAGTGAAGCTGGTTTCTCACCTCCTCCTCCACAGCGAACAGCTTGACGATGTTCTTGTGGTTGAGCTTCTTCAGAACCTCGAACTCTCTCATCTGGACGTCCAGCGGCCGCAGGAAGCTCAGGTTGTTGAACACCTTGACGGCGTAAAGGTCACCTGTTTTCTACAAACACGACAGAATCAAGATGTTAACTGATCAGACGGTATTGATCAGCCGATCAGCAGCGCGTGCTGATGTCGTACCTTGTGTCGTCCACGGTAAACGTTGGCCGTCGCCCCCTGACCGAGCAGGTCGGAGATCAGCCACAGGTAGTTAGTGGTGCTCTGCATCCTGCAACACACAAACAGCCNCTTTAACGGGGTTTCTGGGTGTGGACGGTGAGAAGCGTCACCTCTCCAGGAAGTGGTTGTTCTCGGCCAGCTCTTTGACCACGCCCTCCATCTCCTCCTTCAGCTTCTTCATCCTGAAACAACAGCAGAGTTAAACGGTCAGCTTGATGATGGAGATGATGATGGTGATGATGATGGTGATGGAGGTGAAGCAGCTGTTACCCCAGAGTCATCTCCACCAGGGTGTTCTGGCTCAGATACGCCTGAGGCTTCATCCCACTGGACACCAGAGGAAGAACCTTCTGAGGCAGCTGTTCCTGCAGCTGGAACACAGTTTACATCACACAGTCAACTTCTGCAGGCTAACCAAAGACTAACATTAGCCCAACGTTAACCTAAACCTGACACAACACGAAACTAAACCTACTGCTAAGCTAACTAAAATCTAACGTTACCTTAAACCTAAAATTACCCAACCTAAACTTAACGTTAGTCTAAACTCATTAACTAACCTAAACCTAACGTTAATCTAAACTCATTAACTAACCTAAACCTAACGTTAATCTAAATTTATATTAACCTAACCTAAACCTAACGTTAGTCTAAACTTATATTAACCTAACCTAAACCTAACACTACTCTAAAATGTACCAAACCTAGAGACAAAACACTACATAATTTACAGATTTAGTCACTTTCTGCAGACTAACCTAAACCCAACTTACACTAACCTAAACCTAACGTTAATATAACATTATCCAAAAACATTTATGGATGTTTTAAGGATTTTCAGCTAAATCTGACGACTCTTAGCGGTAAACATCCTGTTAACCCAAATCTGCCTTTTAAAA